CAACAAACTACACCCTCTTGCAGTACTATTACGCGTACGAGCAATGATCAACGGCCGTGTTACTGTAATTTTTGCGAGAGGTCAAACCACAGGTCGCACCAATGTCGCACTGTAAAAGACGCACAGGCACGTAGAAAAATAGCCATGGAAAAAAATCTCTGTTGGAAGTGCTTCTCTCAAGAACACAGAAGCTCTGATTGTAAGCGACCCAATTGTAAGCGCTGCGGGAAGCTTCACGACGACTCTCTATGCCTACAAAGAACTGCTAACACCCCTCCGGGAAAAAGCACCGAGAATAGAAGGCAGGTAGTACAAAGTTCCCTCCAGACGGAACACTCAGCTTCAGCGAAAAAGGTGACCTCAGATCATAACGAAATAGTATTACCTTCCAGTCCGATACCGTACCGAAACGATACAAACGGGGCATTCAGTTTGTCATCCTCAGCAGTGCACCAAGGACACGCACAGAGAAATGGAAACGAGCCAGATAACATGACCGCGGGTCAACAAATTGTTTTGATGACGGCTGAGGGGATGGTTTGGAACAATATCTCCAATTCATATCAGAGAGCCTTGTTCTTTTTCGATACAGGCGCTCAAGTAAGTCTGATCCTAGAAAGGTCAGCAGAGTACCTCGCATTACCGGTTTCTGCAACAGAACAATGCTCCTTGTCTGGGATAAGCGGAATATCTGAAACGTTCCTTTCACATCATGTAATTCTGAGAGTTCAAACTGCACAGGGGAGAGAGTTAGAGTTTCCCATGAAAACAAAACCCACAATAACTACCGGCTTTCCCTCGGTGCACCTAACCGAGAAAGACATAGAATTCATGGAAAACCACAATATTTTCCTCACCAACACAAAGTTGCGAGGAGAATACCAAACACCTCATATACTGATAGGAATTGACCTATACAGCTACTTCGTTCATGAAGGTACGCCTCCAATCCAGCTCCCAACAGGTCTTCGAGTAGCTCGAACGGTATTTGGCTTAGCGGCATATGGGCGAGGCAAAGTGGAAGCAAAAAGCATTAACTATTCTCAGATTTCATGCAATACAGTCATCTCGGAATCTGAAATGCTCAAGAATATTTTCGAACTAGAAGGATTAGGAATCTCTTCCAGAGAAGGAGTTGAAGACGAAGATACCTTCGCCTATCTGTCTAAATATGCGAAACTAATCCGATATAAAGACCAGACCGTATGCGCTCCGTTTCCAGTGAAGTCGAACGTAATTGATCTTAGCGACAATTATGGACTCGCTTTCCGAAGACTCATAGCGCAACTGAAGCACCTGGACAAAGTCCCACAACAGAAAAAATGGTATGTGAAAATAATCAATCAGTACCTTGAGCAGGATGTAATCGAGGAAGCCATCAACCCGGTACCGAATTCCATCGGCACATATTACATGCCCCATTCAGGGGTATGGAGAGAAAACAAATCCACTCCACTCAGGATAGTATTTGACGCCTCATCACGACAGAAAAATCAGTTGTCACTCAACGATGTCATTCACACGGGAGCCTCTTTCGTGAATAAGATCCATAAATTTAGTGGCAAGTCGAGAGAATCCAATGATACTCATCGCCGATATACAAGCAGCATTTACGCAGATTCGTATCGAAGAATCGCACCGAGATCTGTGCAGGTTCTTATGGGTTCGAGATCCTGAGAAACCTCCTGTACAGGGAAACCTGATCGAGTATAGGTGGAAAAGAGTACCGTTTGGAGTAACATCATCACCCAGTATGCTGAACATGATCCTCACAGCGTATCTCCAGAATATCAATACTCCACTCGCAAGCGAAATTTTGAACAAGCTATATGTTGATAATGTGCTCATAGGCGCTACCACGGTAGAAGAAGCGGTGGAAAAGTATAGGGCGTCAAAGGAAATGTTTTCAGCTATTGGCATGAACCTGCGTGCATTTGTAAGCAATTGCGAAGAGGTAAACGCTCAATTCGAAGAGCAAGACAGAGCACAACAAGGCCCTATGAAATTGCTAGGCGTCGACTATAATTCCATCACAGATACATTTCTCTTGAAAACGGAATTCTCTTCCAGCCGAGAACAAAAAGAGAATTTTTGAGGCAGCATCACTCGGTCTATGACCCTATCGGACTCGCTGCTCCCTTAATGATCATGCAAAAACGTTTGCTCAGAACCATGTTTGAGAAAAAGATCGACTGGTGCGAACGTGTCGACGATGAGTTCGCGCAAACATGGAATAAGGTAACCACGTCTATAGATAAATGTCAGGTGCAGATCCCACGGCGAATGTTCACCAAAAACAGCGTTATAGCAAATCCTAATCTGTGGGTCTTCGCAGATGCGAGTAGCCAGGCAATGGCGGTTTGCGCATACATGGAAAACGGGGATTCCACCGAGGTCTCACATCTGATCAGTGGAAAGACAAAACTAGCACCCAAGAGACGTGCATTGACAACGCCTAAGCTAGAGCTTCTCGCGATCCTACTGGCTCTCAGGCTAGCAGAATCAGTGATATCTGCGGTAAGCGCCGAAGTCGCTAAAATCAATATCGTAAGCGATAGCCTGATAGCACTAAGCTGGATACGGTCATCACGAAGACTTCCGCTTTTTGTAGCGAACCAAAAAGAACGAATTAAAACATTGGTCGGCAAATTATCAGCACTCGGATGTAGCTGTCAATTGCTCCATGTTCCAGGGGACAAAAATCCTGCAGACGTAGGAACCCGTGGTATTTCCGGTCTAAGCCTGGCCAATCTCGACTGGATAAAAGGACCTCAATGGCTACTCAACAAAGCGGAGCGCTCAACGCTGAAAAGCATCGACAGCATCGAATCAGCAGAGGCAGAAGAAACTTCCCAAGAAAATGAAGCAAAAGTTTTTCTGGAAATTGCTTCAGAACCAAACCATGAACGAGAGAACGTAATTGACCTGAGCCACTACAGTAGTTTCACGAAGGCTCTCCGCGTGACGGCCTACGTTGGCAAATTCATCAGCAAACTAAGAGCGAAAGTGCTCGAGAAAAAGGGTCGGTCCAGTCAAGAGCAAACGCAGCAAGCTTCGACACTCTAGCGAAGTAATAGCTCAGGATATGAACGAAGCCGAGAAGGTTCTGTTCAGATTAGAACATCAAGCGATTGATTTGAAAGAGTTGCAAAAACGCTATCCACAGAAAAGAATCTTTCGAGACGAGGATGACATACTACGCTGTTGAATGCCGGTTACAAAACACGGAATTCACTCTTGACACAATATACCCAATATATGTACCACCGCGATCGGAGCTTATGCGCTTGATATTAGAAGACCTACATTCCACCAATGCCCACTGCGGCAAGAACCACCTGCTTTCCCTGGCAAGGCAACGCTTCTGGATGGCTCGACCCTCTCGTAGTGTGCACCAGCTATTAAAACGCTGCGTCACATGTCAAAGAATGCAAAGCCTCCCATTTGAAGCACCTAAAATGGCTCCGCTGCCAACTGACAGAGTCCGACAATCCAAAGCCCTTTCAGAGCACGGGTTGTGACTTCATCGGACCATTTACAATCAAAGGCGAGTCCAAGGTCTACATCTGTATTTTTACATGCATGACAACTAGGGCCGTCCACCTCGAAGTGGTAGAGAATCTATCAGCAGGAGCCTTCCTCAACTGCTTTATTCGCTTCATATCGCGCAGGGGAGTGCCCTCGATAGTTCGATCCGACTGTGGTACAAATTTCACTCTGGGACAAAAGATCATTGACTCTCTATTTTCCTGTCTCGAATGGAGAAAGCGTCGTAATGAGTTATTGTGCCAAGAATAGGATAACATGGCTTTTCAATCCACCAAGCGCCCCATGGATGGGTGGGGTATGGGAGAGACTGGTCGCTTCAGTTAAGTCAGCATTCCAAAAAAGTGTTGGGAGAAAAAGACTTTCCCTCACAGATATGTATACGGTTGTCGCTCGGATAGAAGCAATACTCAATACAAGACCGCTTACGGCGATCAGTACAACTGATAACAGCACGATACCGTTGCGTCCCATTGATTTTCTCCAGGGAAATGTTAAGTTCTCCCTACCCATCGCGAACTCAGACGACGGATGGAATGAGGGACTCAGATTATGACCCTGACTCCTTACAGTCAGTGTCACAGGCGAAGGAAGCCTTGGAATTCTCGAAGCGCATTGCAGACAGATTTTGGGATATCTGGAATGTGGAATACTTGACTATGTTGAGAGATACACAGAAAACGTTTCTTAAAAAGAACCGTCACAATGCTAGGTCAACACCTGAAGAAGGTGAAATCGTGTTAATTGAGCACGAGCTCTTACCACGAGGACACTGGGTAATAGGCAGAATCATCGAACTGATCCGCAGCGCTGATGGTTTGATACGCTCAGCAAAAATACAGCTCCCGTGCAAGAACAAATACATTCAGCGGCCGGTGACGAAGCTCTATCCTTTAGAGCTGCGAGCGAAGAACGAGCCGGAAAACACCAACGAGCCAAAGCAAAGCGTCAACCAACGCGAAAGCAAAGAAAGTCTGGGAGCACCATCTAGACCGCCAAGAGCAGCGAAAACAAAGGCGTGCGAGGCGCTCCATCGACTCAAAGGAGAACGATGGAAACAGCGAAACAGAGAAAGAGGATTTGCGGAACACGAATAAGAGAAAAGCAGAATCTGTCCCCAAGTCAGTCATGCTTTTATTACTATAGCATTACTGGCATTTGTTTGCGCAAAAGGCACAGCCAAAGAGGTTATTAGCTGTTCCCAGGGAATCGTAGACATCCACCCGAGTTCCACTCCCTTTCAACTCTGCATTAACGACAACTGCAAAGTTTTCAACAGCAGTCTGAAACCGCTTCGATACATACTCGAACCAGCACCGCATACCACGACGGCACGAGTAACATTGAGGTCTGACCTCCTCTTAGCGCAACGGATGTGCTCATTAAGGCCATTTTGCGATCAGGTTGCCAATTTTTTATCAAAGGCGCTTATTGGTAATCCGCAATGTTGGCCCATGGGTGCCATAATTTCCGTCGGAGTGATCTGCTACGGCATCATAGGGTTGGCACTACTCACATTTTGGCTCATTTCACGAAAGCGAGAACCGCGTACATCAGTTAGCTCGAATACTGCCAACATAGCAGAACCTATAATCATGTCGCAACGACAGAGCAGTCCCTTTTCGCTAGCAGAATTTAGACCGGCAACTTTGCGCACCACAGAGGCGGGAGTTATCATAACGTCAGCCTTACTCGCCATGACAGCAACAGCTTGCCAAGAAGGGTTCATGAGGCATTCTATAGAGTTAACATGTTCCGAAATTAACCGTTGCCATTATGAGTTCAGACGAGAAATACTGTTTAACAAAGTGCAGGCTACTTTATGTATACAGCTGAGGCATCAAAATGCAAGCATCGGCTACATAAAAGTGCATCGCGTATCCGAACACCTTGAATGTCAAAAAATATCGCATTTCTGGACGAAAGAGACGTACACACAGGTACAGCAGGTGACACGATGCCGCGGCATGGGCTCCTGTTACGAGGACAAATGCGAATCATTGAGTCCGTCCGAAATCGTCCCTGAGTTGAATTCAACTGCTGTGTATCCAGGCTACAGTGCGTGCTCAATACAATGCAGTGGAATTAACTGCGTGTGTCCGATTCCTATTCGGGCCTGTACATTCTATCGCGTGTCGCATGTACCCATATCATCCCAGGTGTACGAAGTATTCGAGTGCGCAGCATGGATACCTACGATAAATTTGAACGTTGACATCAATTTCTATAAAGTGAAAAAGCACGGGCAACTCTCGTTGCGTCCTTATTCCACCAAAGAATTTGGAAAGTTCCGGTTCACCGTGATATCGACGCAGATTCCACAAACCGAACTCCATCAGAAGTTTGCTCAAACTTCCAATGAAACTCTACTTATCCCAAGCCATTTCGTTTCTGCGGTAATTTGCAAAACTCGACATCAAGCACAATCCGAGTTTTCATCCTGCAACACCGCACACTTCTGCGAGTGCGATGTAAACGGAATCAAACCGAGTTGTCGATGCCCGTACGACACATTTTCAGAACTTCGTCGTAACAACGGTAATGTTCTGCCATTAGCAACACCGCAAATCGAGATCAACAGCGCTTTCGGAACAGTTGTAGCAAAAACAAATGAGGTGGAAACAACAGTGACTGTAACATCGGATTCCCAGTTTGAAAGTGCCCATTTACACGAAGACAAGCCGTGCTCAATAAAAGTCATGAAAATACGAGGATGCTACAGTTGCCGACAAGGCAGCACGGTCGGGATATCATGCTTTGCCAGATCTGACTCCTGGACAACAGTAACCTGCGCAGACATTACGTTCCCTATTGAATGTGGTCCGAATAATAAAACCACAGAGGTAAGAATAGCCTTTGAAAAAGCTATAGTGGACACCACATGCCGCACGACTTGTGGAAAACGAAATATCACAGTGAAGCTGAGTGGAATCCTCAATTATGTCTCGGACTCGGGAGAATCAGCAGTGCTGCTAACGAACGCGACAAGGAAGATCCCTCAGCTGGACTGGTTCGAGGACCTCAGATTCCCCGACCTCTCACCTTTGAAAATGGTCCTAATTGAACATTGGAAGCTCACAATAGCAGTGGCGAGTTCATTCGCGATCCTAGCGCTTCTTACCTACTTATTTGGACCTATTTTTCTTCTGGTATTAGCGAAATTTACAGTCTCGGTTACACTCCTATTTATCAACGTGGCATGCACACTACTGAAATCCAGTGTCTCAGCGCTGCTGAAAGGCATACATGGAGCACGACGGCTAAGTAATGCCAATCGACAAGCCTAGAAGCTTACGGCGAACCAAAACATACCGTCTTCACCCGCCTACATTACAACACGCTTCTTCACTTGAATATGTCAGACGACTTAGACCGTGAAATTCAGCTGCTAGAATTCGAACGCCAGACTTCCATGGATGCCATTCGCGACACTCTACAGAGCATCACCACTAGACTCGACAGTTTATTCGCGATGGTAGGGGAAATGAAACAAGACGTGCGCACATTGCTGGACCGAACAGCACCGAAGTCCTCGTGCGTATTCTGTCTGGTCAACGACAATGTCGACAATCACCTTACTTCTCGCTGCCATCGCTACCCCGATCCGATCAGTCGAGCAATGAGAATTTCCGAACTACGCTTGTGTGAGCGCTGCCTGCGCCAAGAGCACGGCGCAGCCGTTTGTACCGTTACCTGTAACAACTGTCGAGGACCCCACAACACTGTGCTCTGCGCTGGTCATCCAATCAGAAAGCGTAAGCTTTGAGCATCGACATCTACTCCATTCTCGCCTTATTCACGCCTTCGATTTTTGTCTACTCGTCTGCCACTGCTTCGTCCGCTTCTAGCTGCTACTCTTCGCCTTCCGCCACGCCAATGCTACTCGTCTTCTCCCGTCTTCTAGCCCCCTCCGATCGCCTATTCCCAGCTGGTCCTCTGAGCCTTTATTCCAATCGGCTGATGAATGTCAACTTATTCGTGCCCGCCGTCATTCCACACCGTCATCTCATCACGAATGCTCGTATTCGAGATAATGGTCTCAGCAGGCCAACGGGACACCACTAGCAAGAACTTGACCTGACAGGAGCACAGAAGAAGAGGAGTGCAAGTGATATTCTTTTTGATGTTATGTTACATTGTGTAATCTTTATCGTAGCCGTTTAGTCTCGGTTTGGAGGCGGCCGCAGTGTCGCATCGCGACGATGCCTCCGTCGCATCGCGACGAGGGCGTCGTCGGGCTCGCTGTGACATGGCTCCGCCCCCACTAGCCAGTCTTCTAGTTGACTGTTGTGCTGACTGTTGAGCGTTTTAGCGCCTGAGATACATAAAAGATTGTCGTACATCGTTGAACCACCGTACGTACGACACACCATGTAGTGTATCTGCAATCTCCAGGGATAATTTTTAGCGGATTCCAGTGTATGCCAATCCACGGGTCGATCTCAGTTGATTTCGATGTTTCAACCATTCTTTCCCCTATAAAACCGTCCCACCCTAATTACATATTCACGTGCAACTATACTCTATTTCGGAAGACGAGAAGAAAATCGAGTGCAGACCACACATCATAAGAGACGACGGCCAAGAGAAAAGCGCTTTTTTTCTTGGCCGTCGTCTCTTATGGTGTGTGGTCTGCACTCGATCTTCTTCTCGTCTTCCGAAATCGAGGTTATGTTCGTGCTTCGAAAGCGTGTTTCAATTACGTATGTCAGAACTATTAGCTCCCAAATCCCTCAGAGATCAGGCAAAGTGTTTGAAGATCTGCTAGGACAAAGAATGTTCGGCATGTATTCTACCTCAGTGATGTAGTAACTTGAGCGCTTACCATCGCCACTACCCAACCTCGCCTGAGAATCGAGAGTATAGTGACTCGAGAGTCATGTGACATCTAATCCTTTTGCTCTTCTGCGTCTCCTTCATAAGGCCAGCCACCAGATACTAACAAGGGGGTCTTTCAGGACATGGAGCGTTTTTTCAAAATGGTTTTCTGAATGTTGTAGAGGCTCATGTGAGGAACACAGAACCATGGTCCATTTTTCCTGAATGTCAAAACAGCGGGAAGAAATGGTCCAAAGTTCGATCCTCCGTGATGACAAATTTTTGCAATTTATGTTGGCGCCTCCAAATTGCCGCAAAACACGACAATGACATCTATTCTCGACGATGGCGCCATTTGGCGGCAATCTGGGGGCGCCAAACTATATTGCAAAAATTAGTCATCACCGGGGATCGAACTCTGGACCATTTCTTCACCACTGTTTTGACATTCCTGGAGGCGTTCAGGAAAAATGGATCATGGTTCTGTGTTCCTCACATGAGCCTCTACAACATGCAGAAAACCATTTTGAAAAAACGCTCCATGTCCTGAAAGACCTTCCTTGTAACCGCCAAACTTTTGCCACAGGTTAGGTGGCTCACACCCCCCCCCCCCCCCCACCCCCCTGAATTGCCAGCATCCCCTCTGGCTCACGCATTCTTACTACCAGGTTTCCGCCACACCCAAAGGATTCAGATGTCATACAACCTGTTTTGAGAGACACCACAATCGAAATAGATCCGAACAAGCCCAATTTATTTGGTAGTTCTGAACGGGGAAACTCTATTCGAATTATTTCTATGAAAAGCACAATAAACGGTGTCTTTCACAAAAATATGTCCCTAAAATGAAAAAGCTGGCTCACAAGAGGCTGCGTGGAAGACATCGACTCCTGCGGAATGTTGTCATGGTCGAGTAGCGCTTGAACCTCTCGCAACTTGAAGCCCATGTCAACCTCCCGCGCTCGCGACTGACTGCAAGGCACGCGCTCACTCACATTGAAAAGATCACTCGTCAACAACTCACTCTTTCTCTACTATTTAACATATGAAGAAAAAAAAAGGTGAGCTTCTCAGGCGGTCAATTCTCTCACTCGCCGACGCCACGGCGCATAGTCAAATCCATTCAGAAATAGTGATTTTAAACGCGTTATGCTTTCACTGGCCATTACAAAAGGTGATTTTATCCTCCAACAGCTTGAAGTAAACACTGACACTGGAGACCATGAAGCTCAGTTTCAACCTGAAACTAGATCCGCCGAACCGGTGCGTGTGGGGCGGCGTCTTGGCAACTACACCACCGTCCCAATCCCCCCAACCGATTACCCTATGCGCCATTATAATATCAACTGCCAATCTCCAAAATTGAATCTGAACACGCATGTAGGGAATTCAGCGATTCTACGTAATAATGGTACACAGCACATGTAGCTCCTTAACTGCCGTCACACCTCGGTACGGACAAGCAGTGACGGCGTCCTAATTGACTGATTAAGACCCCGTGGTTGCTGCAGAGTCCAACCCACTCGGCTAAACCCCCACAACACACACTCACAACACCACCACCAAAACACTCAAACTATTGGACCGACAGGTCAACCTATCACTTGATACTTGAGAAAATGGTCGTCTTAAAATGAAAAGATAGTAACATCATACAAGAACGAGCAAATTCTTGACCGGTTTTTTTATAAATTTGGCGGAAAAACCTTGCGATAAGTCTAATAAGAGAAATCGAAAATTTCTGAACCTGTCAACCCCCCCTCGGGTCATGAAACAAATCGACAAACGTAGCAATGGGCTAGGGTTGACCACTATTTTGGGCCTCTATCCACTAGCAGAGTCATGGAATCAACGCAGCATCAGGCTTCATAGGCGTCATAGCACGATCACCTACCACCCTCCAATACTAAACGCATTAACTTTAGGCCAATCGACTACCCACTATCCGCACAGATTACCAAAACCGTTCCCGCAACTCTCTTCCATTTTCCGAAGATGGGTAGGCGCAGTTCTCAGCACCTAAAGAATTACAGCCCTGACTACAACCCCATATCGCTTGGTACCTCGACAACTTTTTGTTTATTTGTATAACAACCCCAGCTCAATAACCATCTCCATCAACCCTCACTACTGGCAATTGAAACTCACGTTTCGATAGATAACACATGCATCACCCCCCCAACTTCGCAACCAAATCCACTGAAACACCCACCAAACAACATACAACTAGGTCTCAGACATCGGTGAAAATCTCTGGGACGCGCCATCCGCGCTCAAGCCGTCGTCAACGTGCTGCAGCAAGGCTCTCGCGTAACTTAAGAGAGTATATTTCTCTAACAGCTCTCGCTGTCAACAGCGATTCTCTCGTAGCCTCTGTTTAGTCAATTCTTCTGTTTTTTTTGCCACCAACCATGAATCTCATAGGAATCACTGATTCTGTACTTCCCTTGTCTCCGAGGCAATATGATAGTGGAAAACTGATAGCTCGTTAAATTGATGAGTGGCTGGCAACCTCTCCGAAGTTAATAGCCGTGAAACGCATGAAGCTACGCCGCTTGAGAAAAAGTGAAAATTTTCACTCTCTCTCTGAATACAAATGAATGAAAAAAGGAATAGGAAAGAAAACTATGATCGATCATGATGAAGCGAATGTAAAAGCAGGCTGGGTCGCATTAAAGTCAAGTTTACAAAGTGTTTGAAGACCAAGGAACATTTGTCACTATTATCTCATCATGTTTGTCACGGAATTCTCTATGCCAGGTTTCTCAGCATTAGCTTATTTAAGACTATTGTAACTTCGCCCTAAATCAACGTATACAGACTCATTTGGACTCGGGTCTGTGACCGCCTCATTGAGCTTTCCGACCATGACGAGTTTTGGGACGCATCGGGAAAAAAATTGCTCGTTTTAACACCCTGCCCCTCGCCTCTGACAGCCATTTTTAGGAATAAAATGCGGGGATGGTGTTTTTACTGGTACCGAAAATAATCTACAGAAGAAACTTGGTGAGGTGTGAAAAGGGGGCTACCAAATCCACTTTGAGGAGGGGGTCGCAAAATTTTAAAAAGTAACACGATAGACTGACCCTGCTTCCGATGTGCGCTCCTGGCTAGCAGCCAGCACATGCATCTTGACCTCAACAATTCAACTTTTACTACAATGCACCGGCTCATCTACCCCAAGTTCCTCCTTGCCTACGGCTTAATCTTGATGTTCTCACCTTTCCTAGCTTCGGTGAACCCACCTCGCTCCGCTCTTCAAAGGCAAACCCCAGGATTGGCCCGACTAGTAGGAGGGATACCACGAGGAGAAATTGTAAGGTCTAACCTACTAGATCACTACCTAGCTTCACTCGCAAAAATTGCGCGGTTAGGGCGCTAATCCTTACGGGCCTGCAACCATCGACCCCCGTTCCAACGCTTCCCACCCACCGCGAGAGGTGGTGAGATCAGCGTGCTCTCTCAAACGACGTGCTCTCTCGCGTATTTTGTCTTCTTTGACCGCCCTTTCTCGCCATCGTACCACATCCGACCCTGTTGAAGGTTAAGGCCTTAATTTCAGCGTTCCCAAAGATTTCTCTTGCTTTCCTTCCACTTTCAGGTCGTTCCGCAGCTAAGCTATCACTACAGAGCGCTGATAGCACCAGTTCAATCCCGAGTTTGCCTTTAATCGCCCGTGCCCCAGCCATTCGTTGCAGGATCATAGAGAAAATACAAGTAATCCGTAGACTAAAATCATATATGGTAACGTTTCGGACTCACCACGGTGTACCATAGATAGTTATTCCAAACAATTCGATCACTGAATCTTCGAGGTAGATACAATTTGTGAGAAGAGATTTCGAATTGGTAATTTTTGACGATGCCATTGATGACTGCAATGCTTGCCTCAGCGCCATCTCCTTCGCTTGAAGTTCTCGGTCTGAAAAACACTACTGCAGATCGTAAATGAAAGAGCACCATGGAAGGGGTGTGTTCCACCGTACTAAAACCGGTGTCCAAAGTCTTTCTGTACACCCTTGTGGGCCAAGCGATATGAAATTCGTTTCCCGTAAAGTATAAAAAAGGATAAAGCATTTGCCGTTGATCAATCCCTTTTTGGGATGCGGCACGCATTCTACTTCCATTTGTACATTCGTAGTGGCGTTTGAATGCGATGTGGCCTATACAATGACTTGCGGGGCCAGCCGATGTACAAGTCAGTGTTTTTATCCTCCCAGACAAGTCTGGTACCAATTAACCGACCCCGGAGGGATGGAAGGCTTGGTTGGCCCGGGCGACTCACGACCCAGGATTTGATCCCCGGACCGCTCGCGTGGTAAGCGTGCCACTTGCCACTACACCACTTCCGCCCCCCCTAAGACGATGAGAAAGTGTACTTTCCGTTCAAGGTCCTTACATAAGATTGTGTGTGAAATCAGGTCCGGCCCGGCTCAGTCGAACGGTTCCCGGGATTGTTCAGGTTACAAACTGAACTCAGGTGATCAAAGCCGAGTGCATCATGCTCTTATCTCTTGATTCAATCAATATGTATTTCCTCAGAACACTTTGGTTTCTGCATTTCCAGCCAGCAGCATAGCGAAATCTTCAAAAAATTCGGTGATGCGTTGAGAATACAGCTTGGAAAGAGGAATAGAAATCCACTGGTGAGCTTTTTTCGAAGGTTGCCGGACTAAAGGCAACCTCGAAAAAACAAGGGGGGGGGTGCCACATAGTACCCAATGAAGAAGAAAGACGAGAATCCGTCCAGAGACACGCGTAAGAAGCGGTTCCTTGTTGGGTCGTTGATCTCTGCTCAAGAATGGGAGCGGTTAGGACGATGGACGTATGGATGAGTTATACAGTGACGCATTTGGTGGCACCATGTCAACCCTGCTACAGTCGATTGCCTCGGGCAGTTGTACCGCCCTGCCTGGCAACCACAGCTCGTCCAAATCACCAACCTAAAGCTAGTGGGGCGGATCGCTTGGGCTCGTGTATAAAGCTCACATCTTCGCTTTTCTTGGCAGCCAATGTAAATGCATCGTGTGGCGCGTGCACTTCCCCGTTGCGCTCTCTCTTTATCATAATCGCTTCCCTTAATTGAATGAAAAAAGAGGAAGGGAAAGCATCCAGAATATCAAAGGTGGAAAAGCTTCTCTTTGGAAGATGGACGCGTTACGCACCCATCATCACTGGGCCAAACAGCAGGACAGACGAAGAGAGCAATATGAACGGACGGGGGAGACGCAGCAACCACTCCGCATTGCATCTGTGGGCCAAAGGTGCGGCATCTGCAACCCAGGTAACAAAGGCCTAGATGTCTTGCCAGTGCCGGATATGATACTTATCCTTTTTTTGCTATACGTAGTTCTTCCTAGTCAAGGATATTGATCTGCCTAGTTTTGCCATGGAATGTGTCTTTAAACCTGACTCTATTGGATGAACTCACTTGAGGCTCGAAGAAACATGTCATCGAATGTGCATTCATGATTGCCGGCGATGACGACTTTGTAAGCATGCTTTAATTGCCCTGAAAACAACTGATAAAATCTTGACTTGGTGGCGCTGCTCAATCTTCACTGTCGACGCGCGGTGATGAATGACAGGGAGTTTACCCCGCGAACAGCCGCCATGGTTTCAAACCTGCGTGGTTCAGCCACCGGTGCCGCTCTCCATGACCCAACTCAACAACAAGAACCTACCAAGTTTCTTGTTGAATGAGAGCACTTCATTTGGCAATCCACACGTGGTGAAGTCTCCGGCAACAAGGAGCACGTCTCCCGGCGGCAGATCGGCAGGGTCGATTTTGACGCCGTGAGTACAGCCGATACACACAAACCGAACGTGGTCCGGCCTAACAGGGGTGTCCAGTTTCATCTGAATGTACCTTTGAAGTCACAGGAACGACTCTCTGGGAAATTTTCGACAGCTTACCTGCCTTACCGGCTTAACCGGCCGTTTTTCTTTGAGCATTTCCCATGCCAAAGTCGGATCGGCAGTGTACTGATGTGTGAAAACCTTAACAGCATAATATTAAAAACTTACAAATAATCTGAAGTTCTTCTACAAAGTCACAGCAAATTAGATTAGGTGGTGCTAAATATGCTGCGGCTAATCGGTAGTCTAATTTCCGCCACATGTACAGTTGCAAGTTAGAGCGCAGAGAAGCAGGATTTTTCTGCGTGTCTTGAAAGTATGCGCGACGCCACGTTTCCCACGACTGTACATGTCTAGAGAGAAACGTGCAAAACTCACGACCAGATCAAGTTGTGTATCGTTTATCAAAGTCAGACTTGACAATCTCATTCCTGCTACCGTCCTCACCCGTGAACGCAAACGGGTAAGGCCATTCTAAATTTGAGAAGAGCCAATATTTGCAATGATGTTCTTACATTTACGCTTGCTCCAATTGGTAGTGACTGTTTACGTACGCTGCTCCGTTTAGCGCGATGTCGTTCTGATTCGCGAAGTGCGGCCTGCTCCTTGAGCACCGACGACGTGCCAAAGAAACTACTACTGTTCGAGAACATATAGTCCACTGAAAATTGGTCAGAACCCTTGGAAAAGGGAAAAAGGCGGAATCGCGACCAAGCAACAAAATTCTGGAAGAGTCCTGAGAAGAGGAAACAAGAGGAAGAAGGACGATGCTCAAACAAGACAACATTCCCGTATCGAAGGTGAAACTGGAGTAGAACTGGAATGGGGGGGGGCGTATGGGGCATATGCTCTCCAATAATACCGAAAAACGCTCATGACGCGTCATGAACTCATTTGAATGCACTTCTGATAAGTACTGCTGTAGTTTAGAAGCAGCTGCTTCCACAGTTTGACATTCAA